AACTCTAAATTCTGAATATAAAGTCATCAAATTCTTTTACAGATCTTATTGTGGAAACCCAAAAGTTATATGTCACCATTGCCTTTTTAATCACATTTTTGTTTTTAATGTCAAATACCAAACCATCTCTAATATTGTTTCATTATATAGAATGCAGTGTAATCCTAAACACTAAAGATTTGGCCTGAAAATTTGAAATAATATAGAGGGATCATCAATAATTAATAGTAACATTCGATAATTATAAAAATGTATTATTGTAGGATGAAATCAACCTTTATTTTTAAACATTTAGTGAACATTTCGAATGTTAATGCCTCTTTTATATAAAATGGTTTTATTAATTAATCAATTTTTGTTTTACAAATTTTTAATTTTCTCCATTTTGTTTGATTTTTATGCTATATTTATTTTATCTATCTATAATTATTTGCCTGTGCTTTATCTATTAGTTCCCATTTATATATTGTAGAAAATTTTGAATTCCTAATCTGTTAAAGGGACTATTTTTTCTTAAAAGTATTTCAATTTAGTGCATTATTAATGTCTTTAGTGCTTGGTTTGGTTGATATTAAATTTAGATATATTTAAAATATATGTTTTGGGACCATGGGGTAGGGATATTGTGAACATATATATTATATTCTCAGTTCTTTTTAAGGTTAATTGTAAAAAAAAGTTAAATAGCTTTTTTTTAGGGGTGGGGGGATATTGTTATTATTGAACAGAATTTTATTAGTATTGAAATTAACTTTTTTGATTAATATTCCAAATGTCTCGGTGCTTTATTTTTCAATTTAAATAGCTACTTTTTATTTAATAATTGGGAATGGGGGGTGGGTATTTTTTCATTGTATAACACAATTTTATTAGTATTGGAATTAACTTTGTTTATTAACCTTCGAGATGTCTGTATTGGTATTAATTAGGCATTAATTTATTTTTTCATATCATTTATTGAATAAATAATAGTTTAACAAACAAAATTATTATGTCATTTATCAATAATTACAGTTTAAACAGAACGAATGGAAGTGGTTGCATTCGAAAGGTTGTTATACTGGATATAAATTGGTAAAATACAACACAAGTTTTTGTTATACACAAGTTTGTACGAAACAACACGAGTTTCAGAAATTTCAACACAAGTTTCAGAAATTTCAACACAAGTTTCAGAAATTTCAATACAAGTTTCAGAAATTTCAACACAAGTTTCAGAAATTTCAACACAAACAAGTTTCAGAAATTTCAACACAAATAATGTGTAGATTTTCACACAAGTTTTGTGTTGTTTCAACATTTAACACAAGTTTTGTGTTGTTTCAACATTTAACACAAGTTTTGTGTTGTTTCAACATTTAACACAAGTTTTGTGTTGTTTCAACATTTAACACAAGTTTTGTGTTGTTTCAACATTTAACACAAGATTGTGTTGTTAAATAGAGACACCTAACTTGTGTTGAAAATAACACAAGTTTGTGTTGTTTCAACACAAGTTTTTTTTTCAGTGTAGTATTATGTTCTTGCCTAACCCGAGTGTTCCAGTATTTATACTAAACCAAACGATGCCGCTCCCAACGGTACAGTTAATGATAAAGCAATTAAAAAAATAAAACGAACGTAATTTCTAAATCTGCTGTTATAACCAAAAAGCTAAATATTACTGCTATTCAAAATCGTCAACAATAGATTTCTTACGGCTGTAATAGCTGTTGATAGATGTGTAGAGATTGCACGTGCGATGGCTATTTATAGTCTCATAGACTCTACATGTAGTGCTGAGTATTATCGCACTGCGTGATTAACCAGAAATCACATCGGGACAAGCCGCACATTCGTCGTGCCGAGTTCAACTTTCTCTAGGGAACATTTTCGCTGCACGTGGCATCTAACAATGTTTAGGCTTTCACAGAGACTGACATCCAACCGTTTAGCAGTAAAAAGTTGCCCAGTAAAATTGACTGGGGGGGGGGGGTCGATTCTTTTTCGACAAGGATTAAATATACTAATGCCCAAAAGAAAGTATACACACAAAGTTTTGTTTCGATTAAAAACATTTGATGAAACATTACTGAGTTTGTCTCTTGCGTCCAAACTCAACATTTCTAAGCAAAAAAAAGCGAAACAAATTTGCATTGTACCCAAATGCCAGATATATACAATGGAAACCGACTTTGGTTGATGCAACACGAAATGCACAGTGTATACTTTCTTTTGGACATTAGTTTAGCACGGTTCCTGAACGTACAGGGCGCATGTAATGAGACCTACGTTCAGAGCTGAACTAGGCCTAATTGAGTTAAAGACTTAAATTGCCTCATTTAAACTTTAATATTTACTAGCAGGATACCCGGCTTCGCTCGGGGGTCATACCTCCGAAACCGGAAGTGGTAGACTAACGCCATCTGGCCTATGTTACTCCCCGGTCCGAGCTACCCCTATACCCCAAATTTCAGAGTCGGGGCAGACCTAGTATAGCCGCCAACCCCGAACAGACCGGCTTCGCCCGGGGGTCATAACTCCGAAACCAGAAGTTGTAGACTAACGCCACCTGGTCTATGTTACTCCCCGGTCCGAGCTACCCCTATACGCCAAATTTCAGACTCGGGGCAGATGTAGCCGCCAACCCCGAACAGACAGACTTCGCTCGGGGGTCATAACTCCGAAACCAGAAGTTGTAGACTAACGCCACCTGGCCTATGTTACTCCCCGGTCCGAGCTACCCCTATACCCCAAATTTCAGACTCGGGGCAGATTTAGCCGCCAACCCCGAACAGACAGACTTCGCTCGGGGGTCATAACTCCGAAACCGGAAGTGGTAGACTAACGCCACCTGGCCTATGTTACTCCCCGGTCCGAGCTACCCCTATACCCCAAATTTCAGACTCGGGGCAGACCTAGTGTAGCCGCCAACCCCGAACAGACCGGTTTCGCTCGGGGGTCATAACTCCGAAACCGAAAGTGGTAGACTAACGCCACCTGGCCTATGTTACTCCCCGGTCCGAGCTACCCCTATACCCCAAATTTCAGACTCGGGGCATACCTAGTGTAGCCGCCAACCCCGAACAGACAGACAGACAGACAGACGACAGTCACAAATATTAGTATAGATAGATAGATATTTGGACGGTGTTGTGCAAATGTGTTCTAACCCTCAAATTTCCAAAAATCGTTTTAGTACATGTTTCGATTAAAGAATTCGTGACGATTGATATGCAATATTGTTCTAACTGATATCTATTAATAGAGCAAAGTTATTTATAGATTGTTTAATAGAACATCATTACAAAATACTCTGGCTCCTTTTGCTTATTAAACAAGTCTGATGTAAGTGGGTTAGATCACTGTTATTTCTGAAAATGCATTTTGCATAACAAAGCTATGTGTGGGTTAGATCAGTCTTCTGGTAATTATGTTGATGGTTAAATCTTTCTCTTCACACTGTCCATTTTCGGTTTAGGGTATTGAAACACAATTTTCTTCCCAATGATTCCGACTTTGGTGATTTAAAATGCGCATTGAAGCGCCAGCAGTGCCTTTTTACTTCTGGTGACTACATGCTGGCTGGTAATAGAGAGGTGTACCCCCTTCACACATACACCTAAACCTTGCTTTAACTTCAAAAATCAGGCAGATCCCCGATGGAAAAGAATGCGTGTTAACAGCGTACAGAGAGCGGGGTAGAACGCCTATGGTGGCACTCTTAGTACGTTGACAAAAATCTCATCAAGCTCCCTTCGTATAGTCTCCTTCAGACAAAACAAAGTCCTCGCTATGCCCCCGCCCCCAACCCATCCCCTCTCTCCACATCCCGCTCTTCTCTCAGTATATGCTTCGCTTCCACTACATTGTCCCCGCTTTCACTGCCTCTCGATACAATGCTCACAAAGATCTCGCCACGTCCATGCCACTTTCATACACGATCTGGCAGATTTTTTTTTTTAGGTCGTAGCGAAGTCGTGATTTATGTGTGAAGTTAGGTTATTTTTTAGATCTCCTAATATGAGGCTCAGTATCTGTCCTACAGACCAATGATCCACTAATCATTGTGAAAGCATTATAACAGCGTATCAATGATGGGGCTGGAGCGTCGTGTTGAGAGCGGTGGGGACGTTGCTGTGCGGCGAAAATTGTGTGTGCCAAGAGCGTAGCGGGGGCATTGTGTACGCGTAGTGAGAACATGAAAATGCCTTCTCACTTAAAAGAGTTTTCCCGCATTTCACCACAACCTCACCACACTCTATTTAATTTTTGTGCGAAGGATATATCCAAAATTTGGAGCACACTATTCCTGGTGATAGCACACAGTTTTATACTGGCTTTGATTGTGACAAAAATTTAAGAAAAGACATTGATAGCTTTAATGGAATCATAGACTTTGAATTGGAGTTTAGTGATGAATAATTAGTTTAATCAATTGTATCATTTTGGGGCAAAATTACGCAAATTACGATTATTTTGGTTGGAAGTTACGCAAAAATGACCTAATCACATTTCATGCGTTACCATGGTTACTATTCCATATTCAACTATTATTTTAGTACATTTTAGTCCTATATTGTATTTCATGATGTCAAAGTGACAAAAGTTTTCTGGGACTTTGAATTTTTTTCTTTATTGGAATGGGTTCTATTTTCTATTTTCGGTGTTTTCTCAAAACTTCAAATTTGGGGTTAAATCACATTTGCATAACACCGTCCATTTGTCAGTAGGACCCTATGTCACACAAATATTTTGTCTCGATTATTTCGATGTGTTTTACTTTTCAATATAGTTATACTGCCCCTATAGAATATCCCTTTGGGTTTGAAACTTGATTATCAGCAATATAGTTAACTTTTCCAATTGTAGTATTTTAGTAAATTTATATTTTTTTCAGTGAATGACTATTTCAACAAACCAATTAAAAAACTTGGGTTACATAAGCCCCACCTCTTAACCTTCGTTTGCCCAAATTTGTCTAATATGCTCTTATTTGATTGGCTGACAAAAATCTCGTGAATCGGAAGTTGATTGTCTGCTCGCGTAGCCATTGAAATTCCAACATGGATGCCCTACTTCGGGCTGTTCGACGAAATCCTAATGTTTTTGGTGATAACCAAGGGCAGTCAAAACACAAGAGTAAGTAAAGAATGTTTCCTTCACTACTGAATGTTTTAAATTGAATATAACTAATTCATCGGAGATATCTAATGAATAATAGCTTTGACTGCGTAGTCATTCTGTGTTGAATGATTATTGAATGTCACCCATTTTGTTGTTGTTTATTATACGTGCATTTCAGTAGTAACCAGCCACACAATGTGGTAAAGTCAACACGCCGAGTCATTCGAACCATTGCCTGTGTTTATTTTGCTTCTTGGGTCAACCGAGTCTATGGTACCATTATAAAATTTGGTAGGCCTAGTCAAGTCTAGGCCATGGGATTACGATTAGATCATTAGTCTTGTTGTTGGCCCACAGGTGTAGGCCTACATATGATTATAATTACAATGACCAGACGAGACTCTGTGATTTTGGTTTAAAATATGATTGTTTTATGTTGTCAATTCTGTCATTGTAGAAAAGGCAGTGTTACCGATTTTGTGTTCCCCTGGCACTGCATGTCTACACGGTGAGCCAAACGTGGAACTAAAATTAGTTAACATATGTATGTAGACTCAAATTGAATCTGTACCACTAGTAGTACACATACTACAAAGAATATCAGTCAAAAAAATTCCACAAATAGTTATGAAAGCTTATTTACAAAGATATGATAAACTAAAAAATTTGCAACATTTGTCTTCCTCAGCAAACGATAAAGTCATTGCCACCATTACGAAGTGGCGTACCGTAGACTTGTGTAAAATATCCACCTCTTTTTAATCAGATTTATTCCAAACTGGAAAATTATCTACCAGTACCATTGATTTTTTTGTTTAGTTTTCTTATACATACATATTAGTGTGAATTAAGCTGTGAAAATGTGATGATTGTCTGTAAATAGTGTAAATTGCAGATGACAAGTGGCTTTAGTGTTCTCTGTTACGCCTATATAGTATATATGTAGCCTAGTTTATCCTAATCTCAAAATGGCTCATTGGCTGTCCAGAATTGAAATTCATTTTATCTACTGGTATGTGTGTGTTCATGAAATGGATTGATTTAAAACTACATGTATATGCTACAAGTGTAATGCAACTTATTACAAAGCCAGACCATGCTATGACCAGAATTTTTAGAAAATCAATGAATTTAATCTTCTATATCGGTAATAGCTTGGCACTAGACAAGAAACTTTAAAGCATAAATGCATTCAATTTATTAAGCCTGTAACTTCTAAGATATTTCAATCCATATATTGAGTTTTTGTCAATACTTAGATATTAAATCCAATTTTTTAAATTCTCTTTCTTAATCCTTCTATACAACCTTAATTAAATTAAGTTTAATGATGTGAAGAATATCTGATGTATGAAGGTTGATTTATGTGGGTGTAAGCCACAGGTCTATATCAAAGGGTTTGTACTAAGGTTACAATGTAGCTGAGTGTCCAAAAAAATCGATAACCATTTCACAGAAAGTAAGCTTCTATCTCTTATGCATCAAGGGGTGTTAATTTTGCTTGTTATTATTAGTGCATAGTAGTGAAGAAAGAATGGTTCACAGCAGCCCCAGCCGTTTGAGCACAATCAGCTTGCAGATATTTCAAAGTGAAAATGTGTAAGACTAATTTTGCTGTTAGCAGAGTTATTGCCCCATTCCTGAAAACCTTGTAAACACTAAACACTCTAAAGATGCTAGAATTATAAATTATTTTAAACATAGATTTTAATAGGATTATTAAACTAGTGATAAGGGAACTTGACTTAAACTAAATAAAATAAACAAATACAGATCTGTTTTCGATGAAATAGAACTATTAGAAGATTTGTAATTTTTTGTGCTTATCTCCTATCCATTATTAATTGTATAGGCATGCTATCAAATTTTTGGGGTATTGAAATCAAACACTGCTATTTTTCGCACATGAATCATGAATATTTTGATAACTGGTACCTGTATACTGTGGGCTATCAAGCTGATCTAAACATTACCATGTTATTTTCCTATTTTTTAATTCTCAAACAGCTGTTAGTAATTGTTATTGAAAGTTTGTATAATTTTAATAACAACAATAATGGCAGTAAACAACAATAAGCAAATATATGTCAAGTTTATGTAACAAAATGTGTAGAAACAGGATGGCTTACATGTACATATAAGCATTATACATATAGTTTTATACCAAAACAAAAATGCTGAAAAGTAGGATGTTTTAAACCCCATTCCATTCATTCCAATACTTTGATAATGCATTGCCCAGGTTAAATAAGATATACATGTAGATTTGGCATTGGTAAGAAGAAATGAAATAAAAATTCTGTGTCTTACATTATTTAGAAAAAGTGTAATTTGGGCCACTGTGCTAGCCCTGCTAACTCTTTTTAGGGGGTTTCATTGTTATTCGCACACAATTGTAATTTGATACTCTGGAGCCTAAAATTATTATCTAATTGAAATGTATAGTGTTTATCATTATCTTTATGAATTGAAGAATTTTATTGATTTTCTGCAATTTCTGATAATTACTTTCAAAGTTATGCCCCTTAATTACTTTGAAAAATCTTATCTACACTCTTGTGGCTAAACTTAGCATCAGATTGTCTTGAAATTTACACACACAGTTTAAGTTCATGACACAAAGATAAGAAGCTTATTGAGTTTCATCTGTTAGTAATGGTATATTGTTGGTTTATATTTTGCTATATAAACAGTCAGGGCTGCCGACAACCAGTATCACAGCGCAATTTCCGATACATATTTTGTCCGATGCTCATCAAAAATTCAAATCTAACTATGCCTTTCATTTTGGATATTGACACGAAGATTTACCATATTTTGAAGACCAGAGGGCTTTCTCAACACTTTCAACGTGTATAAAATATCAAATAAAATTTTATCAACAAAACTGAATTCTCAGTGTGACTTTTTCTTCTCAAACAACCCAGACACAATTCATTATTATACTATATAATACAGGGACATAACTCTATGAATTGGGACTATTAAACCGGAAATAGGGACTCAAGTAGTACCACTCATGTTGCGAGACATGCATAACTCTATGGAGACATGTCACTTTCGAGTAATTATATCAGTGTTCAATTTGAAGAAAAAAAAAAAAAAATCCAGTGTATACGCCACATATTGTAAATAAAATATATAAAATAATAAATACATGTAAACGTATTGTAAAATGAGAAATCAAAATAAGAATTCCCGTAAACTATTATTTAATTATTGTTTATTATCGCCTGTGTCTAGTTAATTGAGATTATTTGTAAATACTGTGTGCGTCCGATTGAACAAAAATAGTAACACACGATAAAAAGCAGACGAAATTGTTTTCTAACGAAGAAATAAGAATTTAAATGAGTGGGGCTTCGGAAGCCACTGCCAAGAATTGGCTTCATACATAAGACCTAATCAAAAGTCTACATCACATTCAGAAACTGTCACAGCTGCCTGTAGCAGTGCTAAAAAATCATAAGAATGAAATCTAATCATTTGTTATGAATTAAAATTAAAGTAATATCTTGTTCTTTAGGTGTTTTATGTTGAAACTGAAAAATTGCTAATCAATTTTTAAATTTGCTAATCAAATTTGACAAAATTGGTCTTTCATCTGTGAAAAATTACGACAGCCCTGTAAACAGTGCTATATGAAAAAGGCTAAAGTCCTTATTAAAGATACATTATGTAAGATACATGTATAGATGAAGAGCTTACCATTCTTGCTATAATAGCTCAAAAAAAGATAATGTAAAATGAAAATATTGAAAATTTCATTCAAATTACTTAATTCGAAGCCAAGTTATCGCTGTTTCTAGTTTTGACAAGATTATGCATTGTGATAACCAGGGTACTGGTATATATTTATGAGATTTGGCCTCGCTTTCCCATTTTTAAATTAAATTTTTAAATGGTGAACCGTTTTAATCTAGTTGAAATCTTGAGTATTCGATGCCATCGGGAGTTGATTATGGTCTTGTTTTGTTAATAAATGTCTAATTAATAATTTATACACGTATAACATTTCAGGCATAAAGAAAGACCTGCAATAGGCAGATTTAGCTTTTACATAATGCATGTTTAAGATATGCACACTATGTGACAAGTATTATGAATAGGCTTATGAAATTTAATAAGAAATAGACTTCTATTACGTAACTCAATATATCTTATAGTTATATATATCATATGTACAAAAGTTCTAAAGTTCATGCCATCTGACCTTTTGTATCATGAATAGGTTCAACAATAAATCATACATCTGAGACATTTTATTTATTCTCTTAGATTAAAATAATATTTGTGGTCATGATACTTGACTCAAGCATACTCTATCCTATCTCCATACTATAATGTATGTGTAGAAGAGTAACACCTCACATTACAAACAAATAGAAGCCAGACGACAAACCTGCTGCAATGTCAATCACAAATTCAAGCTTGATCAGGCACAAAATCTAAGATGCCTGTCATTTTGTCCAGCACTGATTTGTCTTTGTGTCCCCCGACTTTCTAAGAAAGCAGGGGACTATTAAAATGGGTTTGTCCGTCTGTCACAATTTTTGGGACACACAAACTCTCCTTCTAATTGAGCTAGAATGTTCAAACATGGTTTGGGTGTTTATTGATGGAGTTCGAAGATGAGCATTTTCTGCTTAGGGTAAGCAGAGATAAGCAATTTGATTGGTTGATGCTTTGGGACACGATAACTTTAGTTCTAATTGAGTGAGATGATGAAACTTGGTGTATAGTTTCATTATATCAATACCTTTGATTAAGTTTGAAAATTGAGCTATAAAGTTCAAACTTGGTGTAGGTGTTTATTAGGTCAATGCCTTGATGGAGTTTGAAGATGAGCATTTTCTGTTTAGGGTAAGCAGAGATAAGCAATTTGATTGGTTGATGCTTTGGGACACGATAACTAGTTCTAATTAAGTGAGAGTGATGAAATTTGGTGTATAGTTTTATTACATCAATACCTTGACTAATTTCGATAATGAGCATTTTCTGCTCAGGGTAAGTGGAGCGATAAGCAATTTGATTGGTCGAGACTTTGGAACACAATAACTTCTCTTTTTAATTGAGCAAGAATATTGATGGAGTTCGAAGATGAGAATTTTCTGCTTAGGGTAAGCGGAAATAAGCAATTTGTTTGGTTGATGCTTTGGGACACGTGAGGACACTTGGTGTATAGTTTTATCACATCAATACCTTGACTAAGTTCGATAGCATTTTCAGCTATCCTAATTGAGGTAATGTCTAGTTTATACATACTGTCCGCTCACATCAATGCGATTAAAATGTCCGACAATGGAGAAACCACGAGGTAAACACGTAGATTAAATTGATAATCACTCTTATTGGATTGATGAATAGTCTGACAAAGGGGAAGCAATGACTTCTGTTTAAGATTAGATTGATGAATCGTCCGACAAAAGATTATCAGTCAATCAAGGCAGATTAAGTAGTTACTCGAGGTAGGTGTATAGACGGTATAACACAATAAATACGTTGATCACTTAACTACCTAATCAATCCAGCCTAGTATCAACGATAATCGGGTTGAGTGGTAGTTATACACTCAGTACACTATATTAATTTTGGATTTTTGAATATTATTCACCATGTCTTGATGTCCGATTGGGCATATTCCTGGTAGGACAATTTAGGACGTTTGGAAAATAGCGTCAGACATGTCCGGAATATACACGCGAAATCCCATCTCTGGTCCTGACGCTTGTCGGTTGGATTTTAATATCTCGCTAATGGTATACAGGGGACCTTGTGGGTTATTTTTTGTTCCATAAGATGACTAGATGCTTGTGGGTTATTTTTTGTTCCATAACATGACTAGATGCTTTTCATTGCCAGATACTCTGTATTGGAGATCAGACTGAAAAATGTTGAGGAAATTTCTAGGCAATAGTTTGAATCGAATCCCGGACCTTGTCCTCCTGGTTAGTGAGTGAGCCAGCTCCATACTCATGAGCCACCCGTGATAAAAAAGAACAGTATGTAATAATAATAATAAGCTTATATTAAAGAGAAAAATATATATAAATAACACCCAGCATGAAAATTTTGGGCCATCGATAAATAAAACATTCTGTAATACTTCGAGAAATAACAACACTACTGTTACACGTAAAAGACGATGAAAGGCTTGCGAATTCCTTGTGGGAAGCATGACAATACGCGGTCAATTCTTAGCAAAACGTGGTAGATACTTGGCGAAACACACTGGGTTTCAAGTGAATCTTAGTGAAAAATCTCTGCGAAATCAAGCGAAAATTCACAGTGGAATTGAGCAAAAATTACAGCAGAATCAAGCGAAAATTCACCACAATATATCAACGAATTCTGAGCGATTATTTTTTTTCACGTGATTTCAGCCCAAAAAATTTGGAACCAACTGTATTGGCATTCTGGAGATATTTATCTTTTGATATAATAAATAATTCTTAATTTGAACTTAAATTATGTTTAAGATATTAAGGTTCTATTCTAACTGTCAATTTACTGATACTGTTCGTACTGGTTTTCAAGGAGCTTAATGAATGTTCTCGAAAAATACCCCACACTCTCAATTTAGTTTGTTATAGCTTGGATTATGAATGATTACTTGAGGAGACGACCACTGTCAATATCAGTCGCATTATTTCTGTTACGTCTTTTTTGTATTCCTGATTGTTTTCAAATTTGAGTGAAGTCTGTGTCACTACAGGCCTGGGACTGTACAGCGTAGTGGACGCTTACGGCTGGCCCCCGGTTCCATTCACTTGATTTGATATTTGTTTATTTGGTGCAATGTCTATTTTCTGTCATGTCCGCAGGTTTATCTTGTATATTTTTGTTTTACTTGTAGTGCAGTCCTCCTGCACTTACTATTATATGTATATTAGTGATTGTAAGTAAGGTTATTTGGGATACGATAGTATGCATGTTTAGATTTTACAGTAGTACATGTATAGTTATCTAAATATAAATGTCGATGTCAATCCTGTTTAACATTATATGTTGATAAAGAGAAAAGTATTAAAGGAAGTGTTATAAACTAGTTTTTTTAATATATCAAATCAAACCACATGTTAATTATATCAGCTTATATTTATATACATGTATATATACATGTAGTTTATAGTGTACATATGTAACTGTTATACTCCACATATGACTCATACATGTATCCTCAACTGCTCATATACATGTATACAATAATTATTCAAACAAACCCCAACTTTATTTATATCATTTCTAACTAATATTTCACTATGACCTACATGTATAAGTCTTGTGGGGGGTTTTGTACAACATACACTGTAATTGTCAAATTTGATTAAAAATCCAGTTACTCTGCAAATTTTCAAACTGTAGATGGATATTGAGTGTACATGTATTGTGTATGTGATTTAGGGACCGAATACATGTAGGTCAATATTTAGAACATGGATGTACATGCACACAATTCTTTTGAGGAATTGAAATGGAGTTTAATGTCTTACTTTACTTCACAAACTGGGCAAAAAAGAATGCTATTGAGGGAAATTCTGTCCAGACAGCAGATTTTATGCCTAATCTCCAGCAATTTCTCCGGTTTCCTCCCACTGCTAAAGACCCCTACTCGCAAGCGAATTATTGAAATAAAATTAAACCATGTGTTAGTCCCAAAATGACCTAGTTTGTGTCTAGTGGATGTTAAACCCCATTTCTCTCTCACTCTCCAGCAATTTCCAACTGTGCATGCCAATATTAAAAAACCCCAGATGAACCTTGGCTTTCCATTCCATCGGATCTACTAGATACTTATTGCTTTAATTGCCAGGCCCTCCAATCTGCACCACTGACATGGTGAAACCAAGCCAGAAAATCCAGAGGATCTTCCTCGGTCAATACTTGAATCAAACCAAAGACCTGGGTTAATAAGTCTGTGCCTTTTTACAATACGTGACACTGAGCCATGGTAGCTCCCAACAAATTAAGGAAAGATAATGATAAACACATTGTCACTTCACTGCACAGTACTAACTGAACATTAGGGGGCTACTAGTCCTGGCTGCATTCAAGGTGAATACTTTGTTTCAGAATGTAGATAACAAAAAGTTTTTTGTAGAATGTCTTTTGTATAATCATCAATGTTGCATTCTTTAAATTCTTTAATTTGATGTGCCAAAAATTCATTACTGCAGAATACATCATCATATAGCTTTATTTACATATTTATTAAATACAGGAACATGAGCTAAATATATTTTTGGATGGGGTTAGCCCATGTGCTTCTGGTTTCCCAGTGTTATATAGGCTTATACATACTACTGACATGATATACATAGACTGTAAATGTAAGTACATGTACTTCTATATTTATAGACTTTTAATAAAGATATGTCATATTTTCTAATAAGTGTCTATATTTTTCAGAATTACCAGAAGGATGGGGAGAAAACAAGGAACCAGTTGCAGATGGAGTAACATTTTATCTCAAATATCTGGGTTCGACCTTAGTAGAAGAATTACCTGAAGATGAAAGTTATGGTGATAGTGTTAGTATGAAAGCTGTTCAAAGCATTGTTGCATTGGTAAGTCAATTTAGTTGAAATTAAAATACTAGTTTTCTACTTTTTCATATTTGTGTAGTTGGTGCTCTATGCGCTGCTCTTCTATATTTCTATATTTGTTACTTTGCTATTCTGTGTACTACTCTTCCATGTAGTTGCTACTCTGTGTGCTATTCTTCCATATTTGTAGTTGCTGCTCTGTGTGTTACTCTACATATTTGTAGTTGCTGCTCTGTGTGTTACTCTACATATTTGTAGTTGCTGCTCTGTGTGTTACTCTACATATTTGTAATTGTTGCCATGTGTAGACATTTCAAAGATATCTTATTAGAAGAATTAGAATGTTGTTTATCGAGATTTGTACTGTAGTGATATATTTTCCATCGTTTTAGGTCAGTGAAGGCTCCTCCCAAAATATAAGCCAATTCTAACCCATATCTGCAAAACATTAGCAAATTAACAAGCTATTGTCACTCATAAATCAATACAGTGTGCATCATATCTGTTGACATAAATACATGTAAATCAGGGTGGCGCAGTCCGGTACCCTGTAATTGTTTTAATGATTTCAGCTGTATAGTGTTCCCCCGAATTAATGTCAAATGAAACCCTTTATTTTATGATCAGTAGTGGAATACCGCGTTTTATCAGTGAAATAAAAGTGTTATTTCACTGGCTAGAAGCGGGCAAAGTAGTCCATGTTGTTTTTACCTAAAATGAATGCAAAATCATAAAATAAATAGAACATTTGTCGTTTCGTCGTGAATAACATATTTTATTTCATTTCTAAGCAAGAAAACGTTTATATTTTCACTCATGCAACGCATTCGTGAAAATATAAGTTTTCTTGCTTCTCGATGAAATAAAATATGTTATTCACTCGAAAACGACAAATATCCTCTATATATTATATGTATATTGTGTGTAATCTGTAATCGACAACACTACTGTAATATTACAGCCCTAACTCTTGTCTTAATTAAGAATATGAAATATTTATTTATGTACATGTAGGCTAGTAATAATTCTTTATTCATATAAATTCATAAATTAAGTATGTCTACAAAGAAGAATTATGTTATAATAGCAATTAAGATCAGTTTTTATGTACAACACAGAGACTTGTTTATTGCTATATTTATACTTAATTATACTATTCAAAAAAAGTAGGGGATATTTGATTTTTAAGTGTTATTAAAGTCACCTAATGAAACTGACGAAGAAACAAATGACAAAATGAAATGAAGTTCACATTCATCGATTTATTCCACATGATCGTTAGACTAAGTAAGGCACAGACTGACCATTATAAGGGTAAAATGATACCCGGGGTCAAACAGCAAAGTTACCACAGCATCACAACCAAGTCAGTAACGGGTAAATCCTCCTCTGTTTGCCAAACAAGCATTGATCCGACGTGGCATACTCCTAATGAGACGTCTAAGGTCATTTTGGTCCAGATTGTCCCATTCCTGTTGCAACGCAGCAGCAAGTTCTTGGACATTGGCAGGACGTTGTTGACGTTGACGTAACCTCTGTCCAAGCATGTCCCAGACATGCTCGATGGGGGAGAGGTCGGGACTCAGTGCTGGCCAAGGTAATGTGGTGATGTTCTGTTGTTGGAGGTAACCTGTAACGATCCTGGCCCTGTGACATCTTGCGTTGTCATCCTGGAAGATGAAACTGCGGCCATGACGTCGTGCGAACGGCACAGCATGGACTGCCAAGATGTTGTCCCGGTAGTACTGGCCTGTAACACGCCCTGCAACAACATGTAAAGCCGTTCTTCCAGCAACAGTGATGCCTCCCCACACCATAACAGAACCACCCCCAAATCGATCATGTCTGATGACGTTAACGTCTTGGAAGCGCTCGTTTCGACGACGCCACACCCTCCTACGTCTGTCCAAAAAATCAACAGTGAACCTTGACTCATCTGAAAATATCACATTGCTCCAGCGTCGATTATCCCAGTGTTGACGATCCCTACACCAAAGACGTCTTGCCTGAATGTGATGATCTCTCAAACAAGGGATCACGCGAGGACGTCGGGCGCGAAGGTGACCCCTATGCAGTCGATTCCGAATCGTCTGGCCACTCACTCACACCAGTGTCTGTTTGAAGACGAGCGCTGATCTGATTTGCTGTGATGACACGATTTCTCAAGGCCAAGGTACGGATAAATCGATCCTGGGCTTGAGTTGTCGCCCTTGGTCAACCTGAGCGTGGTCTGTCCTGTACAGATTGTGTATCACGGTATCTGGACCATAGCCTGCTTATGACAGACTGAGAAACATTCATCGTCCGCGCCACAACCGCCTGTGTTGTGCCGATCTGTAGCATGCCAAGGGCACGTAACCTTTCATTTTGGGTAAGCCGACGCATATCAAAATTTGTTTTCTGGTCACTAAAACAATTAAACTGATGTTTCCACCCTGGAATTCAATGCCACAATGACTGTAACATTCAAAGTCAGAGTCGTGCAAATCTTGGGTTGGACCCCCATGATGATCCCAAGCATCACCTGCATTCCATGCGGTAGCTATTGGTGCGTTTGTGCGTCACATGTAACGGGAAATGTTTCTTCTGTTAGGTTCTATAGTGACTTTTTTCGTAGTCATTTGCATATTTTAGTATTATGCCCCCAAAATCAAATATCCCCTACTTTTTTTGAATAGTATAGTTTAATACATGTAGATGTTGTTTATTAATATAAAATAATATGTGTGCATATTTGAGTAAGCGAATATGGTTTGTTTGTAATACTATAGAGTTTATTTCAGATATAAGAAAGGTGTTTCTGCTTAATATAGAAATTCGTTACCTACATGATGTGTGACGAAAACTAGGGTAATGAAGTAGCTTGCATTATTCTATTACTATCTTAGACTAACTCACCGACAGATATGTCAGTATCCATTGCTGGAAGTAGGGTACTATAGTCCAGATATCTCGTGCACGGATTAGTACAATTCACTAGAATACTGTTGACGTAAAACGGTGCCTATACGAAACACTTACCCCAAATGGTAATTGTCCCGCCCTTATAGATGATGCATTATGGTATCTATATAGGAGAAATATCATAGAGCGGCCGAGAGGGGAACATCGTAGCCTCCTCGGCTTAGAGGTTAGTGTAAACACATCATCCTAGCGTGAACCTTATGTAGAACTATCAAGAAGTATGTGGCTTTTGCCAAGTTTAAGCCGTTCTGGTCTGAGTTAGAAAGGATATTAAACTCAGACCGTGGATATTTTAATAACTCGAAAAGTACTATCATAACTTTGTAGTTTGCTGTATGTATTTAATTATATAAACTTAGTAACAACATAAACGGTGTTCCAGAGTCAGTTAATTGAAGATTGAAAATATTGATCCCACAACGTGAAGTCGAAGAAAGTCATAGACGATAGTGTCAAATCTGTCCCTATAGTGTCAAAGCTAATTCCTTTTTAGTGCCGTGATGAAAGATAGTCACATCGGTCCCATTCCTTTTTGTTGCCGAGACGCAGGATAGTGTTACAAACTGACAAAAGTATCAATAAAACGAATTACTATATATACATGTACCTAAACTTGTTAATAAAGTAATGACAGTAGATGGAGGGATAAACATAATGTTTATTGATTTTTATACGCCCACATTTTCATGTGGACGTAATTGTCGTCGCCCCTGTCCGTCCGGACGTCCATCTGTCCACAATTGTTTGTGGACACTCTACAGGTTACAATTTTTATCCAATTTCAACGAAACTTAAAATATAGGTTTATCTCCCTAAGATCTCTTTTCCTTTCGATATTGGCATGTATTGGACCGTAACTACATGGATTATGGCCCCTGATTGTACAAAAAATCGCATTTTTAGCTTGTGGCAGTTGTGGACTCTATAGAGGTCACAATTTTTATCCGATTTTGTTGAAACTTGAAATATAAGTTTATAACCCAAAGATCTTGGTTCCTTTCGATATTCGGGCATATCGGATAGTAACTTCCTGAATTATGGCCCCTGATTGTTTGAAAAATCATGTTTTTAGCTTGTGGTCCCTCTAGAGGCCACAATTATTATCTGATTTAAAAAAAACAACTTTCTAATATATCACTGTTACACCGTAATGTTTATTGAGTTCGGATTTTGTGAAAATCGGGCCAAAACAGCCGGACAAAATGGCGGCTCCTCATACGCAAATAGTGTATAGCATCTGGTATATCAAGCTTGTGGACCCTCTAGAGGTCACAATTTTGATTGTGTTTTGATGAGAGTTGCAATACATGTTTATAACCCAAAGATCTTGGTTCCTTTCGATATTTGTGCGTATCGGATCGTAACTTCCCGAATTATGGCCCTTGAATGTACAAAAAATCACGTTTTTAGCTTGCCGTCCATGTAGAGGTCACAATTTTTATCCGTTCAAAAAAACCATGTGAATATATCACCATTACACACTAAGATCTTGGTTCCTTTTGATAATCGTGTATATCCGAAAGTAACTTCTTGGATTGGATTATGGCTCCTGATTGTTCAAATTTTTTATCCAATTCTGATGAAACAACATATCTTGATATCCCAAAGATCTCAGTCACTTTTTAAATTGCGCATTTCAGACCATAACTTTCTGGATTATTGCCCCTGATTGTTCAAAAAATCCTGTTTGTTTTTAGCTTGTTCTCTATCCATCTCTTGCAAAATGTGGGCGTATCCAGCCTGACAGCCGCTGGTTATTACTTTTATTAAAGTATTTTTGTTGGTTATGAATATTGTCAGGCAATAAAAGAGGTTAGAATTTACTAATTAGTCATTAAAAATGTTTCAAAAGATAAAGTATGGTAATAAAACATACGAAAACAAAATGACCACAGGCAAATTTGTGTATATGAACCCCAAGGCTGCGACAAGATTAAAAATATATCTGGGTCCTATACAAAACTTGAATTGTAATATGTGACACAAAACGTTTTGATAGAATACTCTCATTCCTTTCAACAAAATGATCTTTGCTGATGTGGGACGTAATTAGCTTCTATTATGGTACTGTATTGCCCAATTTGAATGTTTGTAATCGATTAGTTCAACTTTTTGAAGAGAAAACATTTATATGTGTTGGAATATAATGGATTTTATTCCGGAACCGATGTCAAACATATGGGATATGTTTAATGACAAGTAACACAGTTCTGATTCTGACAATATATTTTTTTTTTTAAATAAATATTTTATATTCATATATTTCCAGGCTAAAACTGCAGGAAAGAAATTAAAGAAAGTGTCATTAACTATACGACATAAAGGAATTAGAATGACAGATCTTACCACCAAGGAAACAGACTTTGACATTTCAATATATAGGTAAATTAAAGTATTTTATTTTTTATACATTAAGAATAAAGTATAAGCTTACATGTATGTGAAAAACAGTGACTTTTGGACAAAATTTCAATTAATATTTTTTCAGATATTTATCAATTTAATTTTTGGAAGAATTTTTCAAATGAATCATTTTTATACGCCCACATTGAAATGTGGTCGTATATTGTCATCGCCCCCGTCGGTCCAGCGTCCACAATTGCTTGTGGACGCTCTAGAGGCTAAAGTTAAAATCCGATTGACTTTAAATTTATACACAGTGTTTAAGGTCATGAGACGAAGAATCCTATTGATTTTCAGCGATTTCCGATAATTTCTGCCAGAGTTATGGCCCTTGATCACTTCAAAAAATCTTGTGGACGCTCTAGAGGCCAAAGTTAAAATCCGATTGACTTTAAATTTATACACAGTGTTTAAGGTCATGAGACGAAGAAGCCTATTGATTTTCAGCGATTTCCGATAATTACTGCCAGAGTTATGGCCCTTGATCACTTCAAAAAATCTTGTGGATACTCTAGAGACCAAAGTTAAAGATACATTATGTAAGATTTAGATAAAGAACTAGCCATTCTTGCTATAATAGTTCGAAAGTAGATGATGTAAAATGAATAATTTGAAAATTTCATTCAAATTACTCTATTGCAAGCGAAGATATTAGCCTTTGAAGGTTTGACAGACATGTGCAATAATTTCAACCACCGTACTGGTTGATCGAAGCTAAGTCTCGGCCCTCCATATTTGATTAAATCAAAGTATCGCTGAACCATTCTAATCTATTTAATATAGGAGAAATCTGATGCAATTGAGAGTTGATTAAGGCCTGGATCAGTTAGTTAATGTCTAATTAATACTTTAGAAAACATTTCAGGCCTAAAGAAAGACCTGCAATAGGCAGATTTAGCTCTTGCAGAATGCATGTTTAATATCCGATTGACCTTAAATTTATACACAGTATTTAAGGTCATGAGACAAAGAATCCTATTGATTTTCAACGATTTCCGATAATTACTGCCAAAGTTAGGGCCCTTGATCTTTTTGCAAAATCTTGTGACACTCTAAAGGCTAAAGTTATCATCCGATTGACTTCAGATTGATACACAGAGTTTAAGATCTTGAGACGAACAAGTATATTGATTTTCAATGAATTTTTATGACTTGAACAGCTAAATCCATTGTATACAATGGTTTTGTATAATGGTTTTCTGATAATTACTTCATGAGTTGTTGCTCTTAATCAGATTTTAGTGTATTATAAATGGTTCATTAACGAAAAAAATAAAAATATGCGACAACTCTTGTTGAGTACCCGGACGATTTAGCTGCTGTGGGCGTATGTTTCGTTGCCTGGCAACCTATCTTTGTCACAATACGTTATTATTAATAAATATTTTCTGTGTCATCAAGTCATCAAGTTAATTGGTTGTTATTGAGTACTCATTCTCATTCTTTACCCATCTTCATGAGCCCAGTCGGTGTAGAACAGTAGGCATTAAACCCCATTTCATTTCACTCATTTATGATTTGGGTCATGTAAAATGACCCCTCAAAAAATTATGAAAAAAATATGTTATATTACATACAAACTTATGTAAAACTGCAAAGTTATATGAATCATTCTGTAGACATTGACTTGAGATATGACCATTCGAATCCGGATACCCATGCGCAAGTTTTGAAACTACTATTTTATGACTTGATTTTTTTTATCTGATTTTATTCTTTCTAGTCAGTCTATATTCTTGAAATTATTGGGTTTGTAAGAATGTTATATAGAATAAGAATTTACCATCAAATTTTACAGAACAAGTACTTGTGCAAATATTTCTATACAGTGTAGAAATTTTACCACCCCATATTAGAAGTTGTGACTTATCACATGTATATAATGTTTCAGTGGGTATTGTTTTAACAAACATTATTAAAATTATCTTTGAAAATTGACTCACACAGAAAAAAAAGCTAATATTACTAACCATGTATAGGAGCCTGCCACGAAAAAATTTGAAACTTTGGGAAAATGTTGCATGTTTATCAAGTCTTAATTCCTTGATTGTTATTAAGTACTCATTCTTTATTATTTGTTAGCAAGTCATTCTTTGTAATTGTTGGCAATCAAGTTATGATTGTTTTTTGTAATTTGTATAATTTAGGATCTCTTTCTGTACAGCTGATAAAAATCATGAGAAAGTATTTGCTTTTATTGCTCGTAACACTACCAATGAAACTATGGAATGTCATGCATATTTATGTGCTAAACCAAAAATTGTAAGTAAAGTAATCCTTTAATTTTATTCAATGTTTTAAAAAGTGGGACATGTCAGGAAAAGTATCAAGTTGGTCTAATAACAGATTTAAGATAGCTACATGTAGTATGTCAGAGCGATGAAATAGGGGCATTATACTGTTTTTCTCTTTAAATACTACAGTAAACCCTATTCAGACCTAAATGCACTGTAATCTGTTTCAACACAAAAAGTTTAAGTTATATCAATTTCTATGTGGTTGTATATTGTCGTTGCCTCTGTCCTTCTGGCGTCCACCATTGCTTGTGGAAAAATACATTATGGAAGATTAGATAAAGAGCTAACTATAATAGTTAACCAGCGATTTCCAGGCAATATACACTCACATTTTGCAAGAGATGGATCGAGAACAAGCTAAAACAAAAACGTGATTTTTCATACAATCGGTTGCCATAATCCAGGAAGTTTATGTCTGAAATGCGCAAATATCGGAAGGGACAAATTGTGAACTCTAGAGGGTCCAAAACCTTTGTATTACATACTTTTACCCAATTTATGTACAAAGAGCGGCCATTTTGTCAGGCAGTATCGTTTCTATTTTCCCGAAATTCAAATTCAATCTTCATTATAGTGGAATGGTGATATGTTTAAGCGGTTTTTAAGTCGGATAAAAAATTGTGAACTCACACTCCACAAGCTAAAAAAAAAACCCACGATTTTTTGTACAATCAGTGGCCATAAGCCAGGAAGTAACATCTGATATGCACAAATAGCGAAAAGAACCGAGATCACAGGACCACGATCTTTGGATTATAAACATACATTTCAAGTTTCATCAAAATCGGATAAAAATTGTGACTTTAGAGTGTTCACAACATTGGTATTATATACTTTTACATCACTATTTATAACAAATATCAAATCCTAATTAAATTCTCAGATTATCCACTACCCGCGTCTTTTTCCGTCATTTTTATCTCAGAAAGTGTTGTACGTCTAACTCTTCATAAAGTTTATCAACTTACAAGTACATCAAGCGCTCAATGTTCGCGTGTGACCCTTGATATCACACGTACAGAAATTCCTAATCGTCGGGCTATTGATTAGGGGAACTCTTACATTTTTGTCCTGTATACGCTCCATGAGTGTTTTTTGGGGAATCCAGTATTTTCTAGTAAGATTGGATATCTCTACTTTCCATAAATACCAAAATTATCATACTTTTATTGTAAATAACCACCCGATAAATACTTTTCTGGGAACCCATCTTTAAGTGATTTATCACCACCAATTTGTAAAATATCTTTATATAATGATTGTCATATTATTTTAGGCCCAAGCTGTTACATTAACAGTATCTCAAGCATTTAGTTTAGCCCAAGACCACTGGGAAGAAGCCAAAAACAGAAAATCACAGAGAGAAATAGAAAAAACAAATAACCAGAAGGCAAGTGAAATCTCTGGGTGGGTGATCTTTGACCCTGATATGTTGAAACCAGCAGAATCAGCAGCTAAAATCCAGATCCAAATTATTGGTTCAGTTTGTTATAAGGACTGATGGTCAATGTTCATGAGGCAGGACATATTTACTCTTCTAGCGCACCTGATATCATGTAGAATTTGAGGAGCTCAAATGGCTAACAATTCTTTTTTGGATTTCCTGTATTGGAGTTCTCCAGGGGTCTTTATTAGGACCGGTGCTGTTCGCCCATCTATACGCCAAAGAATTGGGTAAACTTACTAGTGATCAAAGCAGCCAGACATGATGTACAGATAATAGCAAACATGACCATTGATTAGAAATAGGTTTCCTGCACATGATGAAAAGAAAGTCTGTAACCCATTTAGTACAATAATAGATTTTTGACATTAATGGGTGAAACTACATACTGTGGAAGAACTATTGACCTTTGATGAAACTCAACACTAAAGTAAAACCCTTTATGTATCACCTGATGTATCTCGCTTCAGATTGATTATTATTTCTCATGAATTTTTTATGATTTTTTATTTCTTTGTATATTTCAGGGTAACAGTTTTAAATGTAGTAATAGTAGTAGTGTTATAAATTCTGACAATAATTATAAAACATCTTCCTCAAATACTAATAATCTTCTCTCATTTACTGGTAAGTTATACTTTAAAATAAGGAATTTCCTTAAAGGAAAGAAAACAAAAAAGAAACTGGAGGGTGGGGGGGGGGGGTTGCTCAATTTTCATTTCCCAAAATTCTGAATTGACTGAATGACTCAGAATTGAGTCCTGTCACAGTTCTGGCAGTCCGAAATACAGATCTATTTGATGTGAACCAAATTGTGATGTAATTAAGCATTTCTGCTGTGGTGATTGGTAGAGGTAGTATAATATTCACTTGATGCATGCCTTGTCACCGAAAATTGTCATGTTCACGCAATTAGGCACCTAATTTAGCGAATATGGTATCTCTCTATTTTTCTGTAAGTAGAGTAATTTCCCTTACAATATTGGTATTTTTTACATAACATGATAAAGGGAACTTGGTATCCTTTCATCGTGCTCCGTTACAGAACAAACTGTTGATATTTATATTGGTCTTGATATAATATGTCTATGATTATAGATTCTAGTCCTGTAACACCACCTCCTGTAACTATCAACTGCCAAAAACAACTCTGGGTAAGATATTTATTTAATTCAACCATTAAACATTTGAAGGACAATATTGGTGTCAGCCAGTGTTATTATTTTTCCTATCGGACATTTTACCGTAAATAAAGGGGTATAAATCGTTATTTAAGCAGGCGGATTCAGACCACAATTAAAAATCATGTGTCAACAAAATATTCATACTCAAATAGGTGTACCTCGTTATTTTTCATATTTAATTCCCGTGCAGTATCGCATTTATGTCAGTGATATTCCTACAAAATTAAGTGTTGTCGTAATGCAATAGAATGAAAGCTTGCTGACTACGGCCGACCCTAACCTGTTTGTGGTCCCTCTAGAGGTCACAATTATTATCCAATTTAAAAAAACGTTTGAATATATCACTGTTACACCGTAATTTAGTATGAGTTTGAATTTCATGAAAATCGGACCAAAACTGCCGGACAAAATGGCCGCCCTTAGCCAATAGTGTAAACAGCAGGTACATGTATATCAAAGTTGTGGACATACTAGAGGCCACAATTTTGATCCGATTTTGATGAAACTTGAAATGCAAGTTTATAACCCAAAGATCTTGGTTCCTTTCAATATTCGCGCATATCGGATCGTAACTTCCCAAATTGTGGCCTTTGATTGTATGAAAAATCGAGTCTTTAGCTAGCGGTCCCTCTACAGGTCACAATTATTATTCGATTTTAAAAAAATGTTCAAATATATCACCGTTACACTGTAATGTTTGTTGAGTTCGAATTTCGTGCAAATAGTGTAAATCAAGGTTGTGGACCCTCTAGAGGTCACAATTTCGATGAAACTTGAAATACATGTTTATAATCCAAAGATATTGGTTCCTTTCGATATTCGTGCATATCAGATCGTAACTTCTGAATTATGACCCTCGATTGAACAAAAAATCATCTTTTGAGCTTGTGGTCCCTGTAGAGGTCACAATTTTTATCCGATTTAAAAAAAAAAAAACCTGTGAATATATCACCATTACACACTAAGATCTTGGTTCCTTTTGATAATCGCGGATACCCGAACTTAACTTCCTGGATTATAGCATACATGCCAACTATTCCGATTTTCTGAGTCTAATTCTGAATTCTGATTTTACTCTTTATAATCCCTTTTTTTTTAAAATTTATTGGAAGAAATTTATTATATTTCATTCCTGACTTTTTTGATTGATAAAATCCCTCTCGTTTTATTTTTACATTGACGACTGTCTCGGCATTCTCGCTGTTTGTTGTGAATCTGATGGCGATACTGTTTATCGTAGTATGAGTCGGTAAAACAACGAAAATAGTCGAGAACATGTGTCATGTTTTTCTTATTATGATTAATATAAAATGGAATAAGCTATTATGTCTGGACTAATCAAGATCAAAATGTCATGTGGTTATTTCCGTCATTTGCCGTGTCTAATTTGCATAATTCACGGTAAAACGACGGAAATAGCCGAAAACATGTCTCCAGTTTTCTCGATTATTATTAATATAAAATGGAATAAGCTAATATGTCTGGACTAATCGAGATTAAAATGTCATGTGGTTATTTCGTCATTGGCCGTGCCTAATTTGCATACTTCGCGGATATTATTTGCTTCGCGGATATTATTTGCTACGTGGAGCCATTCTCGCATACACTCGTACAGTACACGGCGGGTTTACCGTTAGTTGCCAGTAACGTTGTTAGCCATATTTCCTTCTGACTTGATAAAAAATGTTTTCAAGCTGTTTTCCATGTGTGAAAAAAACAAATTACAATTATAAATAAAACCCAGTATAAATAATTTACAACTTCTACTTCCGTGTCGGTTGTCAAGACAAACAAAATGAAATGGCTTCCAAAACAAATGTCAGACAAAAATACCGGGATTACTTGATTTTGGATCTAGTCATAACTTCATAAGTGTTTTAAAAAGACACATTGTTGAAGAAATGTGAGATTTATAATTTATTTTAAGGTTAAATAATTTGAATATTATTACATTAAACTATTTTAAACAGTACATGTCTTATACAGTAATTATGTTTTAAGTAGCCTCTTACAATTCACAAGACAATTTGAGAACATTTTTGTGTACATCAAGGTCGATATTTATTGTCAACTTTGAGCAAAAATATTAACTGGGATTTTTTTCTTTCTTAACTCGAGGCCTGGGATTATTTAAGACTACCCCTTTAACTAACATAGTTTATATACTTAATGTCGATCCCAACTAAGCACATAGCTAATGGTAATCTATTATATTCACTTAACAACAAATTTAGGTCATGCCTACATGTAAATGACCAAAAGCATATATGCATACTTTCGTATATAAATAAGTAAAAAAAACCTCAGATGCATGGACCTAAATCACCAGCTGTTTTTATCCAATAATACAAGGTACTGCTTTAAATAGGTGCTAATTTCTCAAAATTTTCTTGGGGCCCTTAGACGGGCCCTTCAAGCCTCCGGCGCCTGCGGGGCCTCCAGCGCTCACGGTGCGTCGCACCAATCGAATTTGGACCTGCGGTCCTCGCTCTACCCTCAATACAAGACATTCCGATTTTCAATCTCCTCAGGTTGGCATGTATGTTATAGCCCCTGATTGTTCGAAAAATCGCATTTTTAGCTTGGAGATTCTGTAGAGGTCACAATTTTTTTCCGATTTTAAAAACCATTTAAATACATCACCATTTCACCATAATGAAGGTTAAATTCGTATGTCGGGAAAATCAAAATAAAACTGCCCGACAAAGTGGCCGCTCTTTGTACGCAAATTGTGTAGAAGTGTGTAATGCGAAGGTTGTGAACAATTTTTATCCGATTTTGATGAAACTTAAAACATGTCTTTATATCCCAAAGATATCTGTCCCTTTTTGATATTTGCACATTTCAGGCCATAATTTTCTGGATTATTGGCTTTGCCGATTGTACAAAAAATCATTTTTGTTTTTAGCTTGTTCTCTATCCATCTCAAGATTGCAAAATGTGGGCGTATCCTGCCTGGCAGCCGCTGGTTATTGATCATAGGTTAATACTAAATGTCTTTAGCACTTTTTACACTGTGCACTCGTTTTTGGTGCGTACAGCAATGAACAAATGAAATATTTAAATGACAAATTTTTTTTTTTTAAATATTTTGTGAAAATATACATAAAATGCTACCCGAAAGACATTAATACGGTACTCAAAAAAGTGTTTTCAGTCGCATCTGAGTGACATCATAAATAAGCTGTAGGCCTATAGAATCGGTCGTACAAATTTTACAACTCAAATCTGCGAATATTAACCAGTTAAAATTATAAAAATCGTAATAATTTGAATGATAATATTTATAAGCTTGATAATATCAGATAAAAAGCAGGCTACATTTAGTCAAAAGTAGCAAATTTCAGTCCGCAAAAACCGATAAATCCCGTTTTCTATGACTGTAATTGCGTGAATGGAAAGCCCCGGAAACGTGACGTCAGAGCGGTATTTTCCTGCAAGTGTCTCCCATACATAAACGGTAATTGCACCTATATTTCGATAACTTTTGAGTCAGATTATTTGCATATATTGAGATCGATATCAAAGTATTATAATACAATCGCTAGTAATATATTTAAACTAAAAAAGTTATCCAAAATCGCAGATTGAAAGTCGGCTAAATTTCAGTCAATGGCTTCCGATTTCACACTAAAGTCATGTGGCATGAACTGTTTTCTCTTCGCAGGAGAATTGTCAAAATGGCATAGACGTTTACTAGCCATGGGGTAAAATGATAGTTATGGAAAGAACCTTGCACAGGTCTCTATTTTATTTGGTACGCTCATGTACTCTGATACCATTGCAATATACTTTATTTACTCCAAACAATACTACATGTAATCACAAACACACGTTGGGCTGTCAAGCGTATTACCGGAAACAGAAGTTTCTGGTCAAATTCAGCCAATCATGAGGTCGATTTATGAAACGGAAGTAACAGAGTCTCCCTTTGTGAAAATAAAAATAGTATTTGGCATATGACCATTTACCGTAATCTGTGAGTCTCACGGAAAAAACAGGCTAGTTGACACGTCTGATTCTCACCTGCACTATCGTCTAAAACAATTAACTACTTACATTATTCCAACCGAAATATTCGTTGACATTCCTTTGTTTAAAAACATAAACCACATTCAAAATATTATAATAAATCCATGAGAAGACTGATGTCGGAGAAAGGATTCTATTTCGATGGCCTATTCAGAAGGATTCTATTTCGATGGCCTATTCTCAGAGGTATTCTTAATTAATGAACTACATGTTTTCTTAATTAATGAACTAAATGTTTTATTAAGTAATGAACTAAATGTTTTATTAATTAATGAACAGCTTGGATTATTAATGAGTTGCCTGTATTATTTACAGACTAAATTCTCAGATGATGAAGATGAGGATGAAAGTTTTTCTAGGTAAATTTCAACATTTTTACTGCTACAATGATTATAATTGTCATTATTAAAAGATAGCTTAAATGTCCAGTTGCGATCATCTTGGTTTACAAGCCAAATGTCCACTGGTCAAGTGTAACTAACAAGAAAGTGAGTCTAGTCGCCTAGTGGAATTTTGAGTGGAGAAAAACCTTTAGAATTCTGGTTCTTTTGTAGGGATTAACCACTAAATAACTATGGAGGAAATATTGTACCATGGTATAATTTACTAGATTTCAGTTTGTTTGTGTGGTCTGGTTATTAGTCAACTGCATAATAATGACTATTTTCATTAAATGAAGCTACTTCCCTTGAAAAAGACAAATGAAATTGATATTTACAGATTAGCTGAGAACAGAAGTCGACGTTTACCTTCATTCAGCACAAATTTACGTAAAGAAGATCTTGATGATAGTGTAGAACAATATATGGATGGTCGACGCTGCTTTGAAGAATTTTCACGTCAGATGTCCATTGAAGATCTATTAAATTTATGACAGCAGAGAGACTGACTGAGGAGAAATGCTGATTGTGTGATGAGTTTAACTGCAAAACATCATGTTGAGATTAAATGACTCCGTGGATCATGTATAGCACTGTACTAAGAAGGTATTGATCATGCAAATTATTTAAGACTAAAATGTCAATTAGTCAAAATGTGAATACATATAAAAAAAAATGTTTTGTGCATGCAATGTATAACTATTTGATAAGAAAATTTAAATACAGAGCTTGCCCCATCTCTATTTGAAATAACACATCGCATCAACCTATTTCAATACATTATTCCGAGGTAATTCAAAGAGGTTTAGCTCCTTTAATGCTCTATGCCTACTTTTTGTCATTGATGTTCTTAATGTCAAGGCTTTTATTGTACAATTGAATCATATTTGTAAGATCTCATAATGTCCTGTCGATTTTTTGATACTTGTTTATGTGTAACTGTTAAATAATGTACCTCAATTGTTTATGGAATAATGTTTTAAGTTAATCTAGTCTTAACTAAAATATGAAATTTTTTAAGTTTACATGTTAGAAAATATCATGCCTTGAGTGGGTGGTATATTTTTCTTGTAAACTTGAAATGTATGTAAAGTTTAAAATGCCTGTGCACACTGAAGGATTTTTAAGTTGGGCAAAACATGCAGTGAACAGCTCACCAATTTTCAGTGATTGTATGTCTGCACAAAAATTCCCTATTGCTTTCATTAGTTATGGTGATGTTTATACATGTTTACTCATATAATGAGTTGTTTATACATAGATAAAATGGCATCCATCAAAGGCTTCAACAAACCATCTCTGCTATCAAAGCGTGCATTTGGAAATATATTTAGCTACCCAGATGGTTTGCTGGCAATAGGTTGTTTGCCAGTAGTTCATGTATATTTAATAAAATATAAGGAACAATCTGTCAAGGCTGTGTAATTTTATAATACTCCAAACTAATAATTATTGGTAGGTGATGGAAAATTGCTAGCTAATTGTGTGCAGGCCTCTATTCTCAGAAAGCAAGGGAGATAATTTAAAGGGAGATAACTCAGATTAAACCTCGAAATTCCCTGTCACATTTTATGCTTATTATTTTGTCTCCTGCCACCAAGTATCAGTATTCATTGCCATTATTTTTACAATTTTATACTCCTGATATTTATCTCTTAATATATTTCTACTTAATACATAAACATCTAACTCATAGGTTTAATGAAAATATAATAAATAAATTAAGTAATCTTGGAGGATGCTCGATTGTGAGTCAGGAATGTTCCGAATTGGTAGAATTGCAATCGACTGACTTCTGTCAGTTTCGATGTGGAGTGATAGAAAAGTGTTTCAGCTGTTTTAGTTAGTTGTGGCAGTAGTCATATAGTTAACATGATTCAGAGAATTTAATCCCAGAACATTCAATCAAATATCTCCTTCCGTTCCCTTAAGAACTTTGACTATTTTACATAATTGTAACGGTGTAAGCTATCATTTTATTAGACGATGATGAAATCAAACGTCTTAATAAATGCTTTCTGTAGAATTTATTAATATCATGGGCATTTATTTTGCTATACAAATTATTTTATTTAAATATGTAACATATCTAAGTCTTTCTATTGTACAGATGAGTAGAATTGCAATTCTATAATAGATCAGTAATATAAAAAGGAATGTTAGTTTGGTAAGATAGTGTAGATTATAGATACAGTAATTGGTATACCATATTGCATTAAAGATCCAAAGCTTTTGACAGTATTTTGTGTGAAGAACTATGTGTAGTTCAATAGAAACACTCAACCACATGCTAAATGATTAGACTTTCTTTTGTGGTAAATCTTAGTTAAAAATGAAAATGTGGTTCAGTCTTGACATTTTGCTCTAGATATATGAGGAGACCTTTTTATGTATTTGACTACCATCGGCCAATCATGGGCAGATAATAGGGTATGGATAATGTGGTGGTACTGGTTTGCTAAGTTCACAATTTATTGTGTACTAGTTTATATAAAACTAATGTACATATGTTTGTGTATTTATTGTTATGCTCTCTTTAATATGTACTCCCTCTAACTATGCATTACTATATATTCTTATTATGTTATATTTGTTGTACAAGATAAATTGAAATCTCTGATATTGTTGCAAACTAGAATATTGTGAAAGTTGAAACTCTGAAAGGAATATCAGTCCAAAAGCAGTTTGACTCTTCAGTATTTATAAATAAAGATACTCTGTGCCAGATGTACTCTTTGCTAAATTCCTTAGATGCTCCTCTGTTAAATCCGATTGAAACCAAGTTGGAAGATTATCTCTGGTAGATATTTTGATGTTAATAATCAATTTTAGTACATTTTGGCATGGATTAATTAGATATTGTCTGAAAAATGCAGTTGTAATAAAAATGTAAGTATGAATTAATTATCTTAAAAATCAAACTAGGGTTTATATATATACAAATTCAGACTTATAGTCAAATTGTTAAAATAGCCTATTTGGCACCCATTTTTACTAAACTCTTGTAAAGACTGTCAGTTGTGACCTTTACCCACTTCATATGATAAGATCATTAAAAAAATTTGCATTATACAAAAAATATATATAATTATTATATGAATATGTTGAGCTCAATACATGGATGAACTGAAAAAATAATAAATTACTTTTCATCTGTGGAAATCATTGCTTCCATCCAGTTATTTTCAAAATATAGGAAGATTGACCTTTGCTTGAGGTCATAAAATTACATTTTCATTCAATAATGCAAGATATAGAAATGAAATGTACATCCTATTACTTATAACTAGTTTTCTGTAGTTTTTCAAAAGTCTTCCCCAGTTTCCTCTCACTGCTAAAGACCCCTGGCCCTACGTTTAAGCAAATTATTGAAATAAATAAAATAGAACCATATATTAGTCCTAAAATGACCTAGTTTGTGTGGAGTGGACAATAAACTCTCTCTCTCTCTCTCTCTCTCTCTCTCTCTCTCTCAAAAGTGTTCATTTGTGTGCCTTGAGCTCTATGAAAACACTATACATATAGTTTGTTAGTATTATTTTTTATTATTTGAAGTTTTCTGTAGTGTTCATTTCTGTGCCTTGAGCACCATGAAAACACTAAAGTAACTAAAAATGATAATTTAACTGCTAATTTTCTTAAACACTGTCAGCTATAAAATGTGTATATATGTTGATTCTTAGTCATATATAATATTATATCAATAATTTATGTGGAATTATTTACTTTTCTGTATTAAAAATTATAAATATCTACATTTTTGTGTGTGTTTCGCATGTTCATGTATATATCTTGGAATTCATTTCAGTCAATTATTAAATAATCATTCATAATTTGTCACAAAAACAGATTTTACAAGCCTATATAAAAACAATATGTAAATTTTCATTTAAAGATAAAAATATTTCCTTGACAGTCATAATAAATACTTCCAAAATGATTTTAAAATGTATTGAAACTACAGGGTGAAATATATTTGTTATCAAAAACATATCTTTTGAGATACTTCATGGAAAAGTTTTTTGACTGTCTACAAAAGCAGCTAAATGAACCAGCACTGGTATTATCAGGCAACGACCCAAACAACAGTGGTTAATGCTTTGTAAAAATTAACATATGTAATTAATTGTGGTCTTATTAACTAATTTGGTCTATAATTTGATTTCCTAGTTATTACAAACATCCTACTTTCATATAAAAATAAGTTTAAGAGGGTCTAACTACAGATGATCTAATTATGCTATGGGGAAAAAATCTTTATGAAAACATCATGCTATGATTATTATCATAGCCTACATGTTATATTATTTATCATATTATTATTGTGTTTTATTCATTTCTCTAGTATCATATTTAGATGTGCTACAAATATTTTCAGTTCTTATTGATCTGTAATTTAACAGTCAATAGTTGATTGCTGTTTGGTATTATCATTATTTTGTATATACTCCGTTTTATTACAATTTTCTAGTACTCTGATATGCCTTTTATTATTTATCAAAGTTATTAAATCTATTTTCCGAGAAAAGGTTTCTTTGTTCATTTATATAATAATGTGAAAATTTATATAGGATATTCCTCAAGCAATATTAAACATAGATTCCAGTTATAAAAACAATATTGCTCCAAATGTTTTAAAATTGCAGCTTGGTATATACTAGCTGACAATTAGAGGCTCCCAAGAGAAGTAATGTTATGAGATTGGAACACAATAACTTTGATTCTAATCGAGGTAGAATGTTCAAACTTCTTGTATATGTTCATTATTCGATTGTCTTGACCAAGTTCGATGATGAGCATTTTCTGCTTAAACTAAGCAGTGATAAGATCATGTCGATGCTTGGAACAGATAGCCGAATCAAGAAAATTGACTAAGTTCGATCACTAATATTTTCTATGCAGGTTAATCAGAATGATAAACAATTTGATTGGTCGGGACTATAAAAAGATAAATGTCCAAGTATCATGGCCCCTGATTGTACGAAAAATCACGTTTTTAGCCTGTCTTTCTAGAATTCACAATTTTTATCCCATTTAAAAAAACGTTTTAATATATCACCACTCAGTAGTATATAGTCATAGTAAGAAGTTTTATTTTAATCCCTTCAAGTGCCTGTGTATCACCGTTACACACTAATGATGGTTGAGTACGAATTTCGTGAAAATCGGACCAAAACTGCCGGAAAAAATGTGTAAAAATATGGTATATCAAGGCTGTGGTCCCTCTAGAGGTCACAATTTTCATCCGATTTTGATGAAACTTGGAATGCATGTTTATATCCCAAAGATCTTAGTTCTTTTTGATTATGTTGAAATTTGTGAATATGTCGCCGTTACACCCAAATGATGGTCGTGAAAATCGGACCAAAACTGCCGGACAAAATGGTCGCCCCTTGTACGCAAATAGAGTAAAATATGGTATATCAAGGCTGTGGTCCCTCGAGAGGTCACAATTTTCATCCGATTTTGATGAAACTTGGAATTCATGTTTATATCCCAAAGATCTTGGTTCTTTTCGATTATGTTGAAATTTGTGAATATATCACCGTTACACCGTAATGATGTTTGAGTTTGAATTTCGTGAAAATTGGACCAAAACTCACGGATGCAACCTTAAATTTATGCTTATATCACAAAGATTTTGGTTCCTTTGGATATTGGCGTATATCGGATCGTAACTTCCTGAATTATGGCCCTTGATTGTATGAAAAATCGCGTTCTAAGCTTGTGGTCCCTCTGGAGATAACAATTTTTATCCAATTTTAAAAAAACGTTACACTCTAATGATGGTTGAGATCGAATTTCGTGAAAATCGGACCAAAACTGCCGGACAGAATGGCCGCCCCTCGTACGCTAATAGTGTAAACATCTGGTATATCAAGGTTGTGGACCCTCTAGAGGTCACAATTTTGATCCGATTTTGATGAAATTTGAAATGTAAGGTTATAACCCAAAGATCTTGGTTCCTTTCGATATTCGCGCATATCCGACCGTAAATCCCTGAATTTTAGCTTGTGGAGGTCACAATTGTATTCTGATTAAAAACAAACCCACCCTGTTTGAATATACAGTAGGCCTATCACCGTTACACCTTTATGACGGTTGGGTTCGAATTTCGTGAAAATCGGACCAAAACTGCCGGACAAAATGGCCGCTCCTCGTTCGCAAGCATGGTATATCAAGGTTGTGGGCCCTCTAGAGGCCACAGTTTTTATCCGATTTGGATGAAACTTTTAAATATATGCTTTTATCATAAAGATCTTAGTTCCTTTTGATAATCATACATATCCGAATGTAACTTCCTGGATTATGGCCCCTGATTGGTCGAAAAATCGCATTTTTAGCTTGTGGATTGTCTAGAGGTCACAATTTTTTTTCCAATTTTAAATACCGTTTAGATATATCACCATTCCACCATAATGAAGGTTGAATTTGAATTTCGGGAAAATCGAAATGAAACTGCCTGAAATAATGACCGCTCTTTGTACGCAAATTGTGTATAAGGATGTAATACAAAGGTTATGGGCCCCCTAGAGGTCACAAGTTTTATCCAATTTTGATGAAACTTAAAACATATCTTTATATTCAAAAAATCTCGGCCCCTTTTGACATTTGCACATTTCAGACCATAACTTTCTGGAATATGGCCCCTGATTGTACAAAAAATCATTTTTGTTTTTAGCTTGTTCTCTATCCATCTGTTGCAAAATTGCCTGGCAGCTGCTGGTTGATAACTTGTTGGGACACAATAACTTTAGTTATATTTAAATGAGAGTGATGAAACTTGATGTATAGTTTCATGACATCTTTACCTTGACTAAGTTCGATAATGAGCATTTTCTGCTCAGGGTAAGCAGAGCTATAAGCAATTTGATTTGCCGAGACTTTGGAACACAATAACTCTGCTTCTAATTGAGCTAGGGTGAGCATTTTCTGCTTAGGGTAAACAGAGATAACAATTTGATTGGTAAATGCTTTGGGACACCATAACTTTAGTTCTAATTAAGTGACAGTGATGAAATTTGGTGTATAGTTTCATTACATCAATACCTTGACTAAGTTCGATAATGCGCATTTTCTGCTGGGGGTAAGCAGAGCGATAAGCAATTTGATTGGTCGAGACTTTGTAACACACTTACTCTCATTCTAATTGAGTTAGAATGTTCACACTTGGCGTAGGTGTCTATTAGGTGAATGCCTTGATGGAGTTCGAAGATGATAATTTTCTGCTTAGGGTAAGCATAGATAAGCAATTTGATTGGTTGTTGCTTTGGGACACGATAACTTTAGTTCTAATTAAGTGAGAGTGAGGACACTTGGTGTATAGCTTTATTAAATCAATACCTTGACTAAGTTCGGTGATTAACATATTCTGCTGAGGGTAAGTAGAGCGATAAGCAATTTGATTTGTCGAGACTTTAGAACACAATAACTCTCCTTTTAATTGAGCTAGAGTGTTCAAACTTGATGTAGGCGTTCATTAGGTGAATGCCTTGATCGAGTTTGATGATGAACATTGTCTGCTTAAGGTAAGCAGAGATTAGCAATCTGATTGGTTGATGCTTTAGTTTTAATTAAACTCAGTCAAGACATTCACCTAATGAACATCTACACTAGGTTAAAACATTCAACCTCAATTAGAAGCAGAGTTATGTTCCAAAGTCTTGACCAATCAAGTTGCTTCTCTTTTATAACCAAATAATCAACACTCCTCATGAAAAGAGACAAAACATAGATTCGAATACCATTAACAGAGTAAACATTTATTGATTCTTATCCGCTTCCAGGGGACAATTTCATGCAATTAGCAAGATTCAGATGCCTTTACAATACTGTGCACAAATGTAAATTCTCTCCAGAACATACTTAAATTTTGAAACAACGTACCAATACGAATATACAGACTTCACTTGCAAGTAAGGCATTGCTTGGACCGTGCTCATTAAAAAAAAAATCCAAAGGGTTCTCTTGGGCACACACATGGTTCCGTTTATCTTTTCCATTTTTATACGCCCTCGTACGCAAATAGTGTACAAAATATGGTATATCAAGGTTGTGGACCCTCTAGAGACTAGAGGTCACAATTTTGATGACACTTGAAATTCACGTTTATAATCCAAAGATCTAGGTTCCCTTCGATATTCGCGCATATCGGATCGTAACATCCTGAATTATGACCCTTTGTTGTACGAAAAATCGCGTTTTTTAGCTTGTGATCCATCTAGAGGTCACAATTTTTATCCGATTAAAAACCATTTGAATATAATATAATATCACCGTTACACCTTAATGATGGTTGAGTTCGAATTTTGTGAAAAGACCAAGACTGCCGGACAAATGGTCGCCCATCGTCCGCAAATAATGTAAATATATGGTATATCAAGGTTGTGGGGCCATCTGAAGACCACAATTTTGACCAGATCTTGATGAAACTTTAAATTTATTTTTATATCACAAAGATCTTAGTTCCTTTCGATAATCGCGCATATCCGAACGTAACTTCCTGGATTATGGCCCCTGATTGTTCGAAAAATAGCATTTTTAGCTTGTAGACCCACTAGAAGTCACAATTTTTATCCGCTTTTAATAAAACGTTTAAATGTATCACCGTTACACGGTTGAGTTCGAATTTCGTAACAATAAAACTGCCTGACAAAATGGCCGTTCCTTGTACGCAAATAGTGTAAAAGTATGCAATAACAAGGTTGTGGACCCAAAAGACACAATTTTTATTTGATTTGATGAAACTTTAAAATATATCTTCATATCTCAAATATCCCAGACCCTGTCGATATTCGTGCATTTCAGACCATAACTTCCTGGGTTATGGCCCTAATTGTACGAAAAATAGCTTTTTTTTATATAGCTTGTTCTCTATCCATCTCTTGCAAAATGTGGGCGTATTTTGCCTGACAACCGCTGGTTAAATATACCTTTCTAGGCGGATATTATGAATTATAAGTACAAAAGATAATATTTCCAAAGACCATCTTTAAACCTCAACGTATTAAAACAAAAAAATATAATAGGTGGAAAGAAATTACGCTATATATCAGACATCTAAAAACCTGTTAAACTGACCTATAAGACCAACAGAGTGCTTTAAAAAAGGTAAAGATTTGTAAATTAAATAAACGGTGAGAGGAAAATGTGTTTTAACTGGCAGCGTCTATAAGCTTACTTCATCCCCACGTCCAAAGAGACGCATTCGGACGACGTGTCACTCGTAACAGCCTTGAGCTTCACATTACAAATAGTAGTAAATGGACGTTTGTCTTTTTCCACCTCTTTAAGAAGATAAAACAAAAGAAAAAACGATACGTCTTTCACAGAACTAGCAATTAACAAAATAAAGTATTTTGTAATGAGCGCCGATCTTGTCGCGAATGTCAGTTAATGTCATCTATATGTCAATACTAAGCCTATATATTTTACAGACATCGGTGCAGCTTTCTGAGTTACAACCCGTGTCAACTGCTAGCGTGTGCATTTCAAGTTTGCATTGCAATCGTAAGGCAATTAGTGTTGATATTGTGGTATCCGGTAGCGGTCGAATTTCATCATGTATGCGTTAAACTGTTTTCTGGTGCAATGGTTGATAATAACATTGGCGTCAGCTCAGCTTGTTCCTTCAGGTGGATTTCAAAGTATTCAAGCAGATTTAGAAAAGGGCGGTAGAGCATTATGCCAGTACTGTTATGGGTGTATGTTTACAGGTAAATTCCACAAATAATCATTTTTCATCCATAAATATGAAAATTATCATGGCCCCAGAATCCAGGTGCGTTGCATTTCTCAACTAAAATACCCAGTGCATGTCGGATTGGATTGGATTCGTTTTTCTATTAAGTGTTTATTTTTTTATTAAAAACACTGAAAACTATTCTTAACAGCAGGGGAGCACCAAACAAATGTAACAAAACGCATATTTGTTTTAATATTTAGGCTAAATGTATAAACCACGATATTGGAAAATATACGAAATGTTTTTGTTTTTTTATTGTAATCTGTGAATGTCTTCTACCATCAACAAGGCTTTTGCCTTTACTTTATCTAAACAAAGGTAAAACTATATAAAAGACAAAGATGCGTTACTAAACACGGACGACCCCTTTGGTATATCACAGGGATTACGACTGGATCATTTGTCATTTTAAGAACATGTAAATGACACTGCGAAGAATATAAAATAAAACGAAGCATTTACCGAACTACTATAAATAGAATAGACAAATATTACGGTTAATTTAGGATCTGCGCATAATACAGTAATTAGTATACCAGGAATGAGGAGGAATACTAACTAGTTTGGTAATCCTGTCAACCCCTTGTGCTTTCAAAATTGATTGGTATCAAGCCAGAATAAGTATTCTTTGTCTGCTTTTCAGAATGACTAAATTGCTAACAGTACATACAAGATAGGTCTATTTTTGATTTCGAAGGCTCTTAGAAACCCTTTCAAAAAAGTTTTCAAGCTACATTGTATATGTAGTAAAAATATAGATGTTTGCTGGAAGAAATTATGGATTCGCATCATGTCTATCTTCTTGAAAACTGAACACGGTTATACAGCTTTTGCGATTGGAAATATGTGTATGTTGCCGCATCTGAAAGGTTAATTAGAAGATTAAAAGCACCCCATTTGCGTCAGTATTCAGTGGACTCGTTGTATACTTTTGCGGATCCGTTGCCGTGTAACTAGATGTATTTAATTGTGGTTATTATCGCGAAGCAACATCACCTTCAATGGAATTCATGGTCAATGGAATTCATGTTTAATGTTTTTTTAAGACGTTTAATAAACACAAATAAAAGGGTTTAAAAAGTTGCTTTTTTCATTCTAGGTTTATGTGAAGATACCTGTCGAACTACCAACAATCCACTTTGTCAGCTGTGCGACTATAAACAACATTGTGAAACGACGTGTGCTACTCTCTGTACTCGTCCTGATCCATGTCAAAATGATCCATGTCCTGAAGACAGACAGTGTCAGGAATTAACCAATGGAGGAACAGCCTACAGATGTATCTGTCCACCAGGAAATATTTGTCAAAGGGTAGGAATACCGTATTCCCATCTTTATCAGAAGTTGTTCTTACAGTAAATAAACCGCCAGTTGTATTCATTCCCTGCAAAAACAAATTTAAAAGTTGATAATGGCCTGGGCCAGTATTCAATTAATTGCCTTAATCTTAAGTAACCGCCTAAGTATACAATTTCACTTTAAATCTAAGGTCTTAATGTTAAGGGATTCTAAAAAGGTAAGGGGAGAAAACGTCCTTAGATTTGTAACCAGGTGATAAGTTAAGATCGAAACCAATCTTAAACTTAAGTAACCACAACACGGTACAAATTCTCCTTAAATCTAAGGGTATTTCCTTAATCGAAAGATAAACCGTAATCAGAAAAAAAAACAAAGATAGAAAATCACCCCAAACATTCAGGATATTTCCTTAAATCGGTATTTAATTGATCGTTAACAAACCTTAAATTTAAGGAAGAAACATGTTGTTCAATAATCCGTCTTTAAGACCCCTCACGTTACATACAATTTTATATCATTTTTAATGGACATTTAAAAAAAAAGGGGGTGGGGGTACTTTATTTCACCCCGCTCTCTACAAAATTCCAAAAAATTCGATTAGAAATTTCAAAGCAGTGACAGAGAAAAATCGATGTTTGTTTGTTTAAAACTATGCTAAAACGTCGCATTTTGTGACTGTCGTTCCATATTATTATAATACACAATCGGGGTATCCCAGTGCGCTATGTGGAAGAGATTTGAAGAGATCAGAAACAACAAAAGATCAACATTCTCATCAGTTTAAATGAAATGTTATTTGGGTCTGTGTCGAATTGTGTGAATTTCTCTTTTAGCGACGTCGACAAGAACCAGGTAACCTAGGCGAATCCATTTTAACAAGATTTGTAACAGACCTACCAACAACAACGGGTAGTGACGTTGAGGATACTACTACAGAACTTATAGATACTACCACCGGAGCAGATACCACGAGGATAATGGCTACTAGGCCCACTACTAGACTCACTACCAAGCCCACCACTAGACTTATTACTAGCACTACGACAGTAAAACCAACTACAAGACGCCAGGTAATCACCAGACGAACAACCTCGGTATCAGCTTCAACAACAACCAATCCGTTTCGAGCGGGAACTGCACCCACTCGAAGAGCTCCGCAAGCATCTCAAATTACCAATAGATCTCCTAAAGTTAGTGGTGTCACCTCACGGGCATATTCTACTATAGGACTTTCTGGTTAATTATATTACTGAAGGTAAGTGGTGACTTCTTATTTTGATCCGTTGCTTCAAACTACTGTTCCAGCATACCGAAGTGTTGCCTCGTAGTTGTAGAACTAATTAAACAATGGGCATTTATATTTAGTTGATATGTCAATACCACATCATTTTGGTGTCTAGAGCAAGATGAGTTACCGGAACTCTGAGTTCACTCCCAAGTATACTCACACATTTATTGTTTATTATCAATATCGTAGATTTACGACTGTTCTTCAAGTTCACGTTGATCTATATTTAAAACGGGATGTTAATAATAAGTGTCTTTATATAGACAAGGTTCATAACGCAATAAAGAGTTTATGATGTTTTATATTTTAGGGGAATGAAGAGTTAGAGAGGGGTGTTTTAGAAGTTGAGAGTATAACAACAATTTAAACTTGCATCATTTAATGATATTGTACAGTTATCTTTATATGTAGATGTGTGTTTCGTTCTATTGTTCATTGTCATCGTCCCGTATTTTATTTTATTATTAATTAAACTCTATTCGTCGCCTGTATAATATTTTGTTTGTCTCTAATTCACATCGTTACTCCTGTGACTTTGATACCTTTCCCCGTCCACAATTATACAGGACAGAAATATCGTGGGACGTGTTAAACGGCATTTAAGGCATCTTTGCCATCGCAATGGTAGGAGGGGTATGTGGGTATTCCATAAATACACGGTAGTTTGCACACAGGATAATTTGTAAATATACCATACTATCTAAGATTAGCCTTGTTACGTTGTTGATACCAAGGCCTTCCAAAGGCAAGCAGAATGTAGACAAAATGTTAAAACCGTAACTCGTGTTTATGGCCAGTTTCAATTAAAAAAGCTTCGAACAATTCTCTGAAAAGGATTACTCCCTCCCCCCGCCCCAGGCTTGATTGAAGATTATGGCAGAATCCAAATGAAGGGAACGGAGTTTAGCATAGGTTTATTACCGGCTATTAACATCTTTGACATAAAATGCACAGAATACGTTAGGTTTCCATATTTAGATTTTAATTGTTGAACAAGCTGTGTACGCTTTCCCTTTCTCCCCCGTTTTCTTAATAATTCGTTTTTATAATACATTACAAAGTGATCTTGAATCTAATTATTAAATGGCTAGTTATGGTGAAATGTGAGACCAATGGCTACATGTTCATTCGCATACTATATTATTCATTTATAAAATTGGAATTCCATGGACAGTCCCTGCAAGCATCAGTTGCTCTATCTGTAGTAGATTTTTAGAACACTTTCGGCTAAAAAATTAGAGCCGGCGAACTATCAAGTCAACTGTCCGATCGAATGCATAAGCATAGAAAGAATAGCACACATTGTTAGAGTAAATTGGAGAAAATATTATAACCCGAATGCAAAATTAATATTAGCCAGGTGAACTTGCTACAACATCCAGGACTCGCTTAGATGAGTACTGCAGCAATGGTATCAGGTGTTCGTGAACAAGAAGAAAAGTTCTGCACACCACCCGTAACAACTTGTGTTACGAACACGTAATTAATGATATATGAGGGTATGTCACCCAAACTTTCCCCATGGAGATAAATTCATGGCTACGAGAAAAGTGGAAAATAATTGGTGGCGTGCTTCCAGATATGTTTACAAGATTTACCTCCCTTTATATTTTCTCGGTTAAAAATGTCTTATTGAAATTCTAGCTGTTTGGGCGAAAAGAGACGTAAATGACAAACAATCGGAAAACTTCATAGAATAAGCAAATACCTCTACCTTGTGCATTTCGTGTCTTATGAAGGGTGGTATGAAATACAGTTTTGTACACATACGGTAAGATTTGCCGTTGAGCAATCTGATCCTAAACTTCTATGACATTTTTGTTTTGATACATAAAAGATAAAATGAAGTTGATCACTGCATCCGTCAAAATCTCCTAACATGTTTTTTATGAAAAATAGATTAAGTCCTATTTGATTCAGAGCCGAATTAACCTTTTGTGTGTGTGTGGGGGGGGGGGGGGGGGGCACGTCAATGGGAGAGGGGCTGAATTAAGAAAAAGAGCATAGGGCCAAGTCTGGCGCGAAGACCCCAGGCGTGAGGGAGTTTTTCACTAGACAATTTTGAAATATATTCTGGGCAAGTAACACAAGTTAAATAAAGTCGAAACTAGAATCTCTTTAGCACCATGGGTCTTTTGTCAGATGTGGAGAGCGGACCCACGTGAAAAACCGGTCGCCACATCCGGCGTATGACACGTGCATTCTTTTCTTACTACATATCTTAGTAGCAGTGTGATCGTCTAGTATTTGTAATTGTCTTCTTTGCTTCCTTCTCGCGTTGTGCATTTCTTATTCTTATCTAAGTAGTTAAGACGTTTTTCTTACCAGGAATAACAATGCAACATTTCGTTTTTACATTTTATATATCAAGCTGGATACATATGGTACAATGCATAATAGATTACAATAAAGTCAGTCTCCCAATCCCATTCCAACCAGACTCGCTGGGGTGAGTATGCTGAAAGAGATTGATACACCCACTCCCTCTGGAATCCAGCGGCTGCCCGACGAATGCTCAGAGATACGATAGTCTTGTATCTAATTGGTCAAATATGACGTAATTGATTATAGCGATTGGTTAATTAGCCCAATGACGTCGAAAACCACCCTTATATGGATAGTGGAAACTTACACCAGAAGTTTCACGCGGGGTATTTTGTTAATTAACCTAGATTTAAATGTTTACCAAATTATAACACTTTTATGTCGAAATCCGTCACTCATTATTTGAGTGCAAGAGATCTGACTTCTATAGATTGTGTGAATCCAATAATTAGTTAAAGATACAATATAAATATAATGCTATTATTAATTTAAAGAGCAAAAATTCTACCAATAGCCTTACATCTCTCGATCAACCAATGGAACGTCTGATCGGTTGTAGTGTTGTAATCAAGACCCATGGCTTGATCCCGGTGATCCTCGCGATTTTTCAGGTTTCTCCTTGTCAATGGTTCAAGATGGGGGGTTCTGTCATCAAGTTGTCCGATCGGGCGAAAAAAACGACAACCCGTGTACACGTTGACGTGCACGAAAAAAAACCCTTGCCAGTTAAAATTCGATGTAAAATAGGCGGAAACTACATGGGGTATGCCCGTCACATGCAAATCTACTTTATCGCCAAGCAATATCACATGTACGCATATCACATCTCCAGTCCATACTACCGCTGGTGATAATGTTTGACGAGAAATCTATGTGTTGTTGGTTTTAACTTTATAACTCTCTAAAGTACTTAACGGATGATATCGAAATTCAGTATGATTCTTCGTGTTACCAATACCAATAATACATGATGATAAATTTTATCGTCAGAGCAATCACACAATTCTACAAAGATATCAGTGGCAATAACTCATGTAATTATCTATCATAGGTTCCTGAAATTCTTCGACTCACTAATGCAGCAACATTTAGAATTTTATAAAGATCGGAAGATAAATGGACCGGCTGGCGTACAGACATGTGCAGTGGAAATATACGATCATATTTTAGTAGTAAAATTTTGAATTGAAGCGTAAATTTAAAACAACATGTGATAATGATAAAAGCAATGCTAAGCTATTACTGTTATCGTATCCCACCGTTTTAAGCCAACCGATATACACTTTGTGCAAGCTTAGTACAAAAAGGTTGTGAAAATTAGAACTTGTGCTGTTTGAAGTCTCTGCTCGACATTTGGGGGATGTTTAATCCTTTTCTTACAAACTAGAATATTGTGAAAGTTGAACCTATAATGGGAATATCAGTCCAAAATGGTTCAATTCCATTTAGTTTTTACAAAGATAATATGACAATATTATTACTGAACGACGTTGGCAAGAGTTTTCTGCTAATAATTTGGCAGCTTGTTCTGAAACACCTTGTTCATGGTTGAAACGTCGCTCGGAAATGAACAGTAGTAAGGTTTTAGTAGGACGTTATACCCATTTCAATCATTCTCATTTGTATTCCATAGAATTAAATGTCCTGTGCTTATAATTTCCAGATCAAATACTAACTACCATTAAAACTATTGCTATAAACGGGATATGGTTAAAACAGGCTAGCGCCACCTGTGATCACGCAGAAAATATTTGGATGGGCCTCTTTTTAAGCCGATTGAATCCAAGTCAGGAGATTATATGCTGTTGAGATTTCGAATTTTTCTATTAACAAAATGTTAATTAATCAATTTGAATACATTTTTGCGGGGATATAGTGTTGAAAAGTTCGATATTGTCTGAAAAATGCAAATGACGATCATGGACTTTGACATGTCTAAAATTCAATTGGCTAGTTTGAGTCACCGATGTTAACACCATATATTATAAATGTTAACAGGATAGTGTGAACGACTAATCGACCAAATGACAAATGTGGCGGCAATGATTATACGATCATTTTTCAGCATAGGCATATATTAAGATAAACGTAACAAAACTCTTTTTAGATATGCATTATGCATTATGTCTTTCTTTCGGCACATTAATTATTCATATGACAAGCCTATAGACCAGGAGCCCAGGGGGTCAACCTAGCTGAAAAGTGTACCAATTTTCTCCTATATGGTATCAATGCATGTATATCTGGTATCATCAGAATGTAAGTCTGCCGGGTTTCTTGTGGTGGGTGTGGTATTCCACGCCCAAAATGCCATGCTCCACAACTAGGCTAGATTAGCTCAAAAGTGTACCACATGAAAATTGTACAGCAGTGTACCGTACATCTTCAGGTGTTAAAAAACACTCTGACAGACATATCTAGTGGTGGGTTACCCCTGACAGAGCTAAGTAATTATCAGACATTTGTAGTGGTGGAGTATCCCTGACAAGAGTTATCTAATTTCCACACCATAGCTAGGCTAGATTAGTGGAAACCTGTACCACCTAAAACAGCTTTGGAGTTGTTCAGTACCACTACAGGAATCATAAATGACCACTGCCAGACAGTTTGTGATATTAACCCCTATACGCTTCCATATAATTGGCATTATTGTGGTTGGTGTGAAAAGGTATAGATGAGTTGTTGATTATCCATACCATGTGTAATAACATTTAAATTAATATTATTAAATTGTCCGCTCCATTAGATTCGTGTGTTGATTTACTGGATAGTCGAGCGATCAGAGCACTGGTGTAAATTGGGCCCAAAAGGACCCTCCTCATTTTTCAGGATCGGCCTATACGATAGGTTGGTTCTGTTGTTCAGTTTTTACGGTTTTGTTTGATTGTCACAATCCAATTCCAAATCGGTATCAGAATCCCGACCCCGTGATTTGCATTCGAAGTTATTTGTGTCACACTATTTTGCCATTTTGGAGTTAGGGTTATGTGTATGCTGCTACATAGGGGTTTGGATTTCAAATTTGATGGAAAATCAAATAAACAGATGATACGGATAACTTTGTATCAAACACGATCTAACACAAAATTTGATGGAAAATCAAAGGTCGCCTGTCCAACCTCGTGGGTTTTCTCCGGGTCCCCCGATTTCCTCCCAAGCGAATTATTGA